TATTTCATTGATTTAGATCATATCATGCTTCCCCAAGCCTATATAATACAGGCCAGGCTAGGTTGTAAAGAACATGATTAATCATTCAACAAATACGAAGCAGCTATGATGTGCCAGGCACTAGGCCAAGCACTAGAAATATATCCGTGTGCAAGAATATCTAGGTCCCTGCCTTCATGAGACTTACATTCTAGTGGGAACACAGACAGTGAGCTATAGATATGTAATAACCATATGTTCTGTTTATGATGGTGCTATGACATAAACAGAGTACTCTGATAAAAACCTGTGTGTGTCTGTTGGAGGGTCATATACTTCAGACAGATCAGGCAAGACCTGTTTGAGATGTGGACATTCAAGCTAAGACCTGAAGGACGAGAAAGAGTGAGCCATGTGAAAAGCAGTGTTAAGAGGAGAAAGGAAGTGAAAAGGCCCCGAGGTGGGAAAAGCTTGAGGTGCACTAGCCCGTGTGGTGAGCAAGGGGTGAAGTGACTTGAGATACAGCTGGAGACAGAAACAAAGGCCAGGTCTTGCAGGGCTGTCTAGATGTGTAAAGTTTTATTTTCTGGGCAATGGGATACTACTGAAAGGCTTTAAGCAAAAAAAAAAAAGGGGTCATTTGGAAAAGTCACTTTGGCTTTAAGGTGAATAATGGATTCAGACAGGGGTGGAGAGGCAGGGTGTTAGCTTGTTTGCGCTGCTGTCAAAGCAGTCTGACCACAGACTGGGTGGCTTATAAAAACAGAAAATGTATTCCTCGCAGTTCTGGAGGCTGTAAAGTCTAAGATCAGGGTGCTAGTGTGGTCGCCTTATGGTGAGGACCCTCCTCCTGGTTCCTGGCCAGTTCCTTCCTGCTGTGCCTTTTCACGGTGGAAGGGGCTAGTGAGCTCTTTGGAGCCTCTTCTCTAAGAGCACTCATCTCATTCATGAGGCCTCCACCTTCAAGATTAAAGCACCACCCAAAGGCTCACCTCCCATTACTGTCACCTTTGGGGGTTCGGATTTCAGCATAGGAATTTGGGAGGGACACAAACATTCCAACCCCAGCAGATACCAAGAGTGAAGACGGGGAGAGCAGTGAGAGGTGTTGCAAAGCCAGGTGAGAGAGGACAGTTGCTTGCACTGGAGGACTGGCAGTGAAAACAGAGCAGTTGATGGATTATAGATACATTATGGTTGTAGAACTCAGGAATCTCAATAATCCAGGAGTCGATTGACTACTTAGCCCAGGATTTCCTGAACCTTGGTAGCTGGCTAGCATTATCATCTAGGGAGCTACCAAAAACAGACTGTTGAGTCCCAGCCCTAAAGTTTAGGATTCAGTAGTCTGGGGTAAAATCCAGAAGTCTGAACTTTCCATGAACCCTTGAGAGATTCTGGCATGAGGCCAGACTTGAAAAAAACACAGATCTGTGCTCTTATTCCAGGTGACCTTCATTCCCAAACCCTGCTTTGGGCTGTCTCCTCACATGGCCCAGCCAGCACGCGTTAAGAGTGTGTACTCATCTCAAAGCAGGAACGACTCTTTAAGAAGCAGCAGTGAGCATCCCAGATTTTGGCTTCCTGACAGGCAGGTTCAAGCCCCGTAGCCAGTCTAACCTCCAACAGCGGGAGAGCTTGAGGAAATGAGCTCAGCTGTTGAAAGGACTCTCTAACCTTGTTTGGGATATTTAACTTTGTTGAGAAAGGTTTCTAAAAATGTGTGGTTTTTATCTTCTTGTAAAAGGCAGAACAGTAGTCATATGCATAGGCATAATTGGGGTCCTTCTGAGCTTCACAGGGTCTTCATTACTGTAGTCTGGGAGGGGGGCGGGCTTTGCTGCCCTTCATTCCCTAAGATCTTCTATAGTTTCCCACCCTCAGCAAGCCGCCAAAAATAAATACATAGACCACATAAAACAGTTTATGCCTACCAAAGGAAAAAGAGTTTCCTAACCATCCCCCCCTTTTGCTGCCCTCTTTTATGGAATCTCTTTTATGAAAATTCTGGAACGATCACTGGCTCCAGGAAGGATTTGCCAATCCCAATTCCCTTCCATATATACTAGTGTAAAGATTAAAATTCTACTAGTTTTTTTTTTTTTTTCTGTTTCAGGCTAGGATGAAGCAATAGGGACTAGATATACCCCCTCTCACCTGAAAAAAAAAAAACCTGGGAAAACATATAAAAAAAAAACCCAAAACAGCTTTTAAGACACTGGACATTAGGCAACGTAAGCCGGTCATTTCAGAGAGGTGGGGAACAAACAAGGTGAGACCTAGCAACTGCCCCAGCTTACTGCCTTGAAAAAGTTCCCAGGTCATAGTGCAGGGAGGGAGGGAAAGATGTTAATAATGGTGAAGCTTTCATGGGTGTACACATAGGACAAAATGTATCAAACTGTACACTTATTGCAGTTTACTGTGTGTCAGTTTCACTTCAACAGAACAAAATTCTACTGAGAGCTTCTTTCCTTGAGCTTCTGGCTTGGATGCCTATTAAAATGGAAATCCCACTGAAGCGGGCACCATTTCAAATTCCTATGATTACATTATCACACTGTGGTGTCCCTAAAAACCCAAGCACAGACTTTCATAGGGAGAGCAAGGATACTACTAGGAAAGGTGAGAGAGAGGATTGTAGAGAGAAGGGAGAAAGGGCATGGGCCGGGGAAATGCAAAGAAACTTGTGTTGACAGATGGAATTAGCAGGGATGGTTCCCGTGGAAATGTGTGCTGGTGGGTTTTTTTGTTGCCACAATAAATGAGGAGCGTTACAGGCAGGTAGTGGACACAGGCATGTAGTGGACAAGAGCCAGGGACGCTCAGGTCCCACAAAGGGCAGGAGTTCTGCATGACAACAAGTGGTCCCACACAGAATGCCAATAACACCCTATTGAGAAACCCTGGCGGAGGGAATTCAGCGGTGCAGGCTGATGGTCCCTCCTCCAATCCCAGCATTGCAAAGCGGTCTCAGAGTGCTTTCTGAGCTACGGTTTGCACTGCAAACCAGAACACCTACTGCTCAATCCTGTTTTAAGTCAGTTAAGTTTTCCTGATGTTAACAGCTTCAAGTATAATCAGAAACTCCAAAGCCTTGAGAACACTGACAGGAACACAGAGATCATTTTTTTTTTCAATTTTTTAGGTTTTTTTAAATGTTTTTTTTTATTAAAAGATTTTATTTATTTATTTGAGAGAAAGAGAAAGAGAGACACAGCGAGAGAGGGAACACAAGCAGGGGGAGTGGGAGAGGGAGAGGCAGGCTTCCCGCTGAGCAGGGAGCCCGATGCGGGGCTTGATCCCAGGACCCCGGGACCATGGCCTGAGCCAAAGGCAGACGCTTAACCGACTGAGCCACCCAGGCGCCCCAGGTTTTTTTAAACTTTTTAAAAAGATTTTATTTGGGGCGCCTGGGTGGCTCAGTCGGTTAAGCGTCTGCCTTCAGCTCAGGGTCATGATTCCAGGGTCCTGGGATCGAGTCCCGCATCGGGCTCCCTGCTTAGGGTGGAGCCTGCTTCTCCCTCTGACTCTGCTGCTCCCCCTGCTTGTGCGCTCTCTCTCTCTCTCTGTCTTGCAAAAATAAATAAAATCTTTTAAAAAAATAAAAAATAAAAAGATTTTATTTATTTGACAGAGAGAGAGAGAGCGCCCACAAGCCTCTCTCTGGGGCTTGAATTCATGACCCCAAGATCAAGAGTTGCATGTTCTACTGACTGAGCCAGCCAGGAACCCCAGGAAACTCCTTTTTATTACACCCAGACTTCTCTCCTGCCTACCAGACTGAAATGTTAACTGCTAGATGAACCCCACCAGCTGAGGCCTACTAGGACCTCAAGCTCAACCTGTCTAAACCAGTCCTGGCTCTGCATGCCTCTGCCATCCTTATTTCTCTGAAAGGCATCACCTTGCAGTAACCCCAGCTTGAAACCACGGTGGTTTTTCTCCCATCTCTCTCCTGTTCCATTGCCAGTCTTGCAGATTTTGCTTCTGAAATATCTCTTCCATCCATCCCTTTTTCTTTATTCCGTTTACCACTAGACCAGTTCAGATTCTCATTACTTCCCACCAATCTGTGGTTTCTCCTTGCTTCCATCCATTTGAAGCACAACTGATTATTTATCAAGTTTCCTCACAACCTACAAAATGACATATAAAGTCTTTACCTGGACTTTTAAGACTCTCCCAAGTATGAGCCCAGTTTTACTTTCTAACCTAATACCTGGTATTGTTCTATTTTTATTTATTTTATTTTAATTTATTTTATTTTATTTTTATGTAAGCTCAATGCCCAACATGGGCTTGGACTCACAACCCTAAAATCCAGAGTTGCATGCTTTACAGATTGAGCCAGCCAGGCGCCCCCCTGTTCTATTTTTAAATCGCCGCGGACTGCTTCCCTTTCCTAATACACGTTCCATTTTTTCGCTGCCTCATAGTTTTTAATATCCCTTCCAGCTGCAATATCTCCATCTCCATCTATGCTATTTTTTCATCAACTGTCACTCTGACATCTTGACTTCCCCCCAAAACTGAATATGACCTTTCCCCTCTTTAAATCTCTTTGGCAATTTGCTCAAACTCACTGATGAACTTAGCATGTGTACTCTGTATTATCTGTGTTTGTGTAAATGTCGCATACTCTAGTTAGAATCAGCTTCTCAAGGACAAGAACTATGCCTTACTCATCTTTCTGTTTTTTACAGGCCTAACATAGTGCCCTACACGGAACAAGAGCTCAATAAATGTTTTTTTAATTTAACTTTAGTCAATTATTTATTTATATTGTGAAATCTATATCTTCCATTGATATGAGAAATATTATACTTTACTATTTAAACTAACTGGATTTGAATTTAGAAGAAAGTTCTCCCAAAATATCTTCTTCATTATAATATATAGGAAATAAACAAAACTCAGTCCAAAGCCATTAGTAGAGAAAAAGCATTAAAATGAGCAAAATGAAGTATGAAATAAGTTTTGGTCAGCAAGTTAAAAACATACTCCAAACAAAATCTCACCTGAGAGAGGATTCATTCAAATTTATGGGCTCTTTGCCTCTCCAAAACACAGAGCCATTAATCTCTTCTTTGACTTAAAAAAAAAAAAAAAGGAAAAAGAAAAGAAGTCATTTGCTAATTCATTACATAATTTGAGATTGTGAAGAAATTATAGTTACATGTACTGATTTGATGACTGTTCATAAATCCTCAAAAAACTTGCAAATCCTGGGGCATCTGGGTGGCTCAGCTGATTAAGCGTCAAACTCTTGATTTCAGCTCAGGTCATGATCTCAGGGTGGTAAGATCAAGCCCCCATCAGGTCTGCACTGGGTGTGGAGACTGCTTAAGATTCTCTCTCTCCCCCATGGGTGGCTCAGTCGTTAAGCGTCTGCCTTCGGCTCAGTTCATTTCCCAGGGTCCGGGGATCGAGCCCCACATCAGGCTCTCTGCTTGGCGGGAAGTCTACTTCTCCCTCTCCCACTCCCCCTGCTTGTGTTCCCTCTGTCGCTGTGTCTCTGTCAAATAAAGAAATAAAATCTTAAAAAAAAAAAAAAATTCTCTCCCTCTCCCTTTGCCCCTCTTCCACCTCCCTGGAAAAAACAAAACAAAACAAAAAAAACTTGCAAGTCCCAAATTATAAACTGGGCAGCATGATGTAACAAAAGGAACTTTAGCTTTGATGTTAAAACATGTGCTTAACTTCAGACTCGTAAAAAGTTACTTTGTAAGAGTTTACCAGTTACTTTGTCACTCTGGACTCAGTATCTTAATTTATAAAAATGATGAAAATTCTGTGAATGAAAATAAGATGTGTTTAAAAAGGACTCATGTGGTGCCTGGCAAAGTAGTTATACAATATACATTAGTTTAATTTAAAGTAAAAACCAAAGAGCCAATCATAACATCAAGAACACTGTCGTGTCCTCCCAATTATATGTGTATTTTATTTATTTGGAGGGACAAATAATAATAGTATCTAATAAGTATTCTGAACGAGAACCAAATTTACATTTCCCTAAGCTACTGCAAGAGGTCAGGACTAGCCTCCCATTCTAAGCTCCAGTGGAAACTCAGTGTTCCCTGTCGAACCACCTCCCCATCCCTGCAGAAGGGTTGGAGTCAGGGATGCACAAGCCAAACCGAGAGCCAGGGAGGGAAAGAAAGAAAGCCCTGCTCCCACAGAGAATTCCTTCTGGGGATTTCCCTGGCTCTGTCAGCCTCTTCCTTTCTTGACTTGCTTGCTTCCCTTTCCTTCTCCCACTCTTTTAATTTTTTCAGTTTATTTTTCTTTTAAGGTAAAATTTACGCAAAATGAAATCAGAATCTTAAGTGTGCTTTTGCTGTGTTTGACCCCTTTCCCTTTGAACTGCTCTGCAAAATCCTCTTTCACTCCTGTGGGTCTGAGAGGAGCCCAAAGCACCTCCATGCTTAGAAGAAAGAACCCTTTTACCTCAGAGAGCCAAAGGTGATGCTGGAGGGGGTCTATAAAAAGATAGCTGGAGGCTGCAGGCTGTTCTGGCTGGCCCTGGTCTAGACGGAAGAGGTCGACACAGCCCCCTTGAAGTCCAGCATAGTTCATCAGATTTGGAGATCACCTGGGGATTTGAGGCCAAAAGCCTGATAAGTGGGAAACTGAGGGGCACTTGTCTAGCTCAGTGGGTGGAGCATATGACTTTGATCTCAGGAGCATGAGTTTGAGCCCCACGTTGGGTGTAGAGATTACTTAAAAATAAAATCCTAAAAAAAAAAAAGGAAACCGCAGCTGTAGGAGGTGACTCCTGGAAGGACAGAGCTGTAGCGGCCATCTGTCCTTTTGTCTTACCAGCACCTTCCCTTTTTTGAGGAACTGACCTCTTCTACAGTATGGGTGCCCCATCTTTACAAACAAACAAACAAAAAGACTGCTCTTTCCAATGAAATTAATGATGAATCAGCTCTAGTGCCCCTCACTTGCATGAGTTCCTTCCAAAGTCTTAGGAGAGGCCTTAACAGTGTGTGCGTATGCTCAAATGTTTTTATCAAATACGTAAAGGGAAGACATTTCAGCCACAATCATTCAAGACCACAGGCTCTTCCCACTTCAGTTTTCCTTCTGTCTCACTTCCTCTCTTGGGAGTATCCAAAGACACTTTATGTTTGTGATTTCTTCTGCCTGTATTTTCTTGGGAGTGCTGCCCTCGTTATGATGTGGGAAACAAAGGCAAAAGCAAAAATTAAATTTCCTTACTAGTTACAGCCCATTGACAAGTCTTTGAAACAGGTTGAGTGACATTCCTCTAGGGACTCAGCTGCCTCGATGTTGATACTTTGCTAGGGGCAAAAGGCAATCTTAGCCCGACCCCCCCAACCCCCCCCCCCCCCCCCCCCCAGCCACCAGGATCCTGTAAGTCTTCTTTAACATACAAAAATTCCTTTGGAGGGGCGCCTGGGTGGCTCAGTCGCTAAGCATCTGCCTTCGGCTCAGGTCATGATCCCAGGGTCCTGGGATCGAGCCCCACATCGGGCTCCCTGCTCAGCGGGAAGCCTGCTTCTCCCTCTCCCATTCTCCCTGCTTGTGTTCCCTCTCTCGCGGTCTCTATCTGTCAAAAAAATAAATTTAAAAAAATCTTAAAAAAAAATTCCTTTGGAAACTTCCTTTATCTCTACCCTCCAAGATATATGTCAGCAGTCATCCTCCAAGCATATGGCCCACTGATATGCATCTGAAGGGTCTCATGACTAAGGTTTGACTAGACAGAAATAAATGAGCTTTTCTCAACAATAGCTAGCCCCCTCAAGTTCCTGGAAACCTTGTTTCCATAATTCCTTAGAGAATTATGCTATCCCTAACCCCCTCCCAAATTGAAAGTATATAATCAGTCACCCATCATAACCCCAGCGCAGTTCTTTCTGCCCACAGGTCCTGTCTCCATGCTTTAATAAAACCAGCTTTTTGCACTGAAGATGTTTCAAGAATTCTTTCTTGACCATTTGCTCTGAACCCCAACATTTTCGTATCAATTGTATTTGGTGTCTTGACTCTTTATCTTAAAGAAGGCTCTGCAAATAGTATGAGTTTTTGGTCCCCACAAAATCTGGATCCACCCCTATCCTAGCCATAGCTGATGGGGTGGGCTCTGATCCAAGTTGGGCTTGGACGTCTGGACATGAGAGGCAGAGCTGGAAGTCTTTGAAACTGGCCATATGGAGAAGAAGGTCCCTCACAGGCTGTTCAGGCCCAGGAACAGGCCCAAGGGTTTCTGGTCTTCCATTAGTGGATTTCTTCTGTTCCCCTCTTGACTCCCTAAGAGACTCCAAAATCCTTCAGTAAATCTCTTCAGCATTAGGTTAGGCAGAATGAGTTTTTTCTACTTGCAAGTGAATAACCTCTACTCATTACATAAGTTTAAGACCCCAGTCATCATAGACCCTTCTAATAGTAGGCATTTCACACATGTGGGTACTAAATGTGATACCAATAATGCCTTTGATCGTTGCTGGAATTAAGTAGAACGTATTAGCACTGGTGGCACAGAGGTCAGGAGGTCTGAGCCTCTTGCCTCAGGACCACACATTACAGACTGTCTGGGAGGTGAACCACAGGGTCCTGGGGATACAGCCACACCTTAGGCAGGGAACAAGCATTTTGGAGGAGAGCTGGAAAGGAATGGAGCACAGCACTGCGGGCATGCTGGAAGGGGGGAAGAAATCTCTGAGTCTTTTCTTTTTCTTTAAGATTTTATTTATTGATTTGACAGAGAGAGACACAGCGAGAGAGAGGGAACACAAGCAGGGGGAGCGGGAGTGGGAGAAGCAGGCTTCCCGCAGAGCAGGGAGCTCGATGCGGGGCTCGATCCTAGAACCCTGGGACCATGACCTGAGATGCTTAACGATTGAGCCACCCAGGTGCCCCTGCTGAGTCTTTTCTATTAGGAAGCTGGTATTACCTAAACAATCAACCTAAGCTGTCCCTTCAACCTGATTTCATGCAAGTTCACTAACCAGCCTTGAACTTTCTGTTTTTTGTGTGAGGTCATTAAAAAGTTATGACAAAAAACAACTTTAGGTTCAATGTCCCTGCCCTCTCTATGTTAGCTTTAAATTTCATTTGTAACAACGGTGTGGAGAATCTTAGGATCATCTGTGCTCTCCACTGAGAAATGAAGTACAGCTTGATCTCTGTTTCTACGTCAGATGGAAGGGCTGGTCTCGATGCCAGTGGCCAGAGTCTGGCAGGTGTAAGACCATACTGACAAGAGAGCCTAAATACAGATAACAGGTGACAGAGTTTTCTGCTAATATGTTCTCTAGTGTGCACACAGCAGTTCACAGTCTTCTTCAGTAGCTTAGATATGAAGTCTTTCCATCATTTAGCTCAATGGATGCCTGATGATATGTTCAGGAGTGCTGGTCAGCTGAGGAACATTTTTAGAAAGGACACTACCCAAAAAATGCAGTGCTTTCTTAACTGCAAGAGGTCCGATTATATTTGTCAAAACCATATTCCTATGGGGAAGACTGCCAAGCCCAAGTAAAAATTATCCACTAAACCTGAAAGACTCATCAGTCCCTTGTTTTAGTTTTCTCCTACCTCAATGATTTTAGGAAATATATAGGTTTTAGGTATAAAATAAAATCTTATATTTATATAAAGCCTGGTTCAGTTTATGTGTCATCAAATTATGAGGTTTCATTCTGGTTTGAGGATTAGTCTACTTCATGTTATGCCAGTGTTTCAGAAGATACCACTAAAGTCATTAAAGTCTTTTCCATGCATCTAGAGCTGCAGTGACTGATTCTATAGCTACTAGGCACCCGTGGCTATTAAACTTAACATTAAATTAAAATTCAGTTAGTAGCACTTGTCACATCTCAACTGCTCAGTGGTCACGGGTGGCTGTCGGCTACTGTATTAGACATAATTAGACTACATACAAAACAGCTCCATCATTGTAAAAAGTTCTACTGGATAGTGCTGTTCAAGAATGTACTTGAAAGTAAGGGGCTAATAACTCAATTCATTCTAGAGCTTTAGTGGATAATGTAGTTCACCACTGTTGCTCTTCTCCTGTCAGCATTGTTCATTTAGAGTTTAATAACCATCCCCTTTCATCTAAACATAAAAAGTACAATTTAAAGTGCTACCTCTGACCCATATAAGGACACATGTATACTCTAGAGAAAAGCCCCTTTCCTATATATCTCCAGAAAAGTAGGGCTTAATTAGGAAGCCTGTTGAAAATGTGATGATGAAACTAAGTATTTTTACTGCAAATGATTCACACTTTTGAGCTTCCTTTGTTAAGATAATCCAGTTGGTTTGAGTGTGAGCTTCTTTGCCACATGATACAAATATTCCCTAGGTTTTCACCCAAGAGGTTTGGAGTAAGTTCTAATAATTATCTTTATTTAAATGCTGAGCAGTTAATGTGTGCTACTTCTGTAGGCATGATATCATCAATATTAACATTAAAGCCTCTAGTAATGACTGTTGTCAAGTAGATGGTCAGACAGGTTTGAGCCTCTCTCTTGCTTCAGGTCTGCATATTACAGACTGTCTAGGAGGTGAACCCACATGGTCCCGGGTATACGGCAACACCTAACTCAGGGAACTAGCAGCTTGGTGGAGAACAGGAGTCAGAGCATAGGACTGTTGGCATTCTAGAAAGGGGGAATGTTTTTTATTCTCTAATGTGTGCTATGTATGACAGTGGCAGTTTTGGGTTTTCAAAACTCCCTGCACAAAAGTGTCGGATGGAACCTTCAGAGATGAAAGCGAAGAAGGGGGAGTGGGGGAGAGGTACAATTCTATGAATAGCCATGTATGTGAACACAAGATAAGTTCTTTTAAGTCTTCACTGCTTTTAACATCATTTGCAAAGTTTCTAGGATTTAAATTTCATAAAACTTCTGCCTGTAATTAGCTTCTTTAACGTGTGTTTTTATCTTCTTATACATGTTGGGAGGGAAAAAAAAAAGCCAAGAATAATTATGCTTGTGGACAAGGATAAATATGCATTTAAGGCAACCAAAGCCAGTTAGGTGCCCTAATTAGGGTGACAAGAGACGTGGTGAGCAACCAGGAATTTAATAAGTCTAATTACAACTTCTACAAACAGTTGCCATGCCATAGAGCATCAGTGTGGAAAGGTGCTTGTCTCTGAGAGTGTACAAACACAGGATAGTTTTCTCACACTTTGTAGTTATTCAGTACTCCAAGAGCTCTGAGTCTGACTTGGAGTGAAGTCTAGTGCGGCATGAATTGACTAGTGTGGGCTGGCTAGAGGCCAGAAGTGCAAGGGCCTATCCAGGAGCCCTGTTAGGACTTCCTTCTGCCCTTCTTCTATGCTAAGGATGCGATCTTAACAGCTGACTACTGTCCTGCTATGTGCCCCGTCTTGCCCACATTATTTCATGTAACACAATAATCCTGTGAAGGTAGCAATAGAGACAAGGAAACTGAGGCTCACGAAGGTTGTGACTTGTAGACAGTCACACAGCTGGGTAAGGTGGGAGCCAGGATTCAAATGTCAGCTTAGCTAGTCCAAAGCCCATGCTCTTTTTCTCTGCTTTTTACCACCTCCCAATTATACAGATTGATACCTTAAAGGGCTCCTTTAGATACATACACATTTCATATACATATATAAAAGAAGGCCTTGAAATAAACAGTTTAATGCTGAACTACATATTCTTTTTTTTTTTAAAGATTTTATTATTTTATTTATTTGACAGAGAGAATGTGAAAGAGGGAACACAAGCAGGGGGAGTGGAAGAGGGAGAAGCAGGCTTCTCAGGGAGCAGGGAGCCCAATGTGGGGCTCCATCCCAGGACCCTGGGATCATGACCTGAGCCAAAGGCAGATGCTTAACGACTGAGCCACCCAGGCGCCTCTGAACTGCATATTCTATTTTTATCTATTTGTCCTTGGGTTTTTAAAACTTACTCACCAGAAACATGTAAAGTCCAAAATGTAAAACATAAAAGCAAGGAAGCTCTGGTTGAGCTGGGTAAGTACCAGGAGCCCTGACTCTTCATCCTCCCCTTTTCTCCCCACCCCACTGTGGATTTTCTAGATCTCCTTGTGCACAATGGGAAAATCATCTGCATCAGATGCTGAACCCCCTAAAAACAAAATTAAAGATGGCTTTTCATCTTTTTATCTAGGTGTGAATCATAGTTCTTGGGTGAACAGGTTCCCAACAAATATTTTTGAATGAAGAACGAATGCTGTTGGGTGCCTGGGTGGCTCAGTTGGTTGGGCGGCTGCCTTCGGCTCGGGTCATGGTCCTGGAGTCCCGGAATCGAGTCCCGCGTCGGGCTCCCTGCTCGGCGAGGGGCCTGCTTCTCCCTCTAACCCTCCCCACTCTCATGTACTCTCTCTCTCTCTCTCATTCTCACTCTCTCAGAATAAATAAATAAATCTTTAAAAAAAAAAAAGAATGAATGCTGCTAATAATCATAATAAACCATAATTATCAGGGTAGGACCTTGTGGCTTTCCTTGCTGTGGGAGCCCAAGATTCACAGAGATGACTACTGGGAGTTTTCCTAAAGCCGGGTTCACAATCTTTCTGGTTATCCCCTGTACTTCTTGATCAGGTTTTTCATTAAAATATGTGGTTGTTAATAAGGTTATTAAAATTAAACAAAAACTGACCAGGGGTGCCTGGGTGGCTCAGTCGGTTCAGTGTTTGCCTTTGGCTCAGGTCATGATCCCAGGGTCCTGGGATCGAGTCCCGCATCGGGCTCCCTGCTCAGCGGGGAGTCTACTTGTCCCTCTGCCTGCCGCTCCCCCTGCTTGTGCTCAATCTCTCTCTCTCTCTCTGACAAATAAATTAAAAAAAAAATCTTAAAAAAAAAAACTGGGGCGCCTGAGTGGCTCAGTCGTTAAGCGTCTGCTTTCGGCTCATCCCAGGATCGAGTCCCGCATTGGGCTCCCTGCTCAGCAGGGAGTCTGCTTCTCCCTCTGACCCTCCTCCGTCTCATGCTCTCTCTCTATCATTCTCTCTCTCTCAATAAATAAATAAAAATCTTTAAAAATAAATAAATAAATAAATAAACAAAATCTTAACCAAAAAAAACCTGACCAAATGGAATCCAGATTCTAACTTATTCTTTCTTTCTTTATTTTTTTTTTAAGATTTTATTTATTTATTTGACAGAGACACAGCAAGAGCAGGAACACAAGCAGGGGGAGTGGGAGAGGGAGAAGCAGGCTTCCCGCTGAGCAAGGAGCCTGATCCTGGGATCATGACCTGAGCCGAAGGCAGATACTTAACCAACTGAGCCAACCAGGCACCCCTAACTTACTCTTTTTTTAAAACCAATATTTAGTGAACACACTTCTTTCTCTCTCTTCATTTCTTTCCCCTCCCCTTTCCCTCCCTTTCTTCCTTTCCATTCTTTTCTCTTTCCTTTTTTTCCACATAGCCTCATGTGTGGCAAACTACACCCAGGCACTATGCTGCCGAGAATGGATGGATCAGCTCATTAATCATCATAGAATTGCAGATCAAAACCACGATGAGATACCACCTCACAACTGGTAGGATGGCTGTCCTCAAACAGCCAAAAGATAGCAAGTATTGGTGAGGATGTGGAGAAAAGGGAACCCGTATGCACTGTTGTTGGGGATGCAAATTAGTACAGCCACTGTGGAAAACAGTATGGAGGTTCCTTAAAAAACTAAAATAGAATGATCCAGCATTCCTATTTCTGGGCATATATCTGAAGGAAATAAAATCACTGTCTCAGATACCTGCCCTCCCTTATTCATAGCAGCATTATTTACAGTAACCTAAATGTCCAGCAGTATGTGAATGGATAAATAAAATGTGTGTGTGTTGGGGGAGGGGGGTGTATATGTGTGCACACATGCATATACACACAATCTAATATTATTTAGCCTTTAAAAAAAGGAAAATCTGGGACACATGGGTGGCTCACTCGGGTGAGCATCCAGCTTTTGATTTAGGCTCAGGTCATGATCTCAAGGTCCTTGTCTGGAGCTCCAAGTTGGCTCTGGGCTCAGTGAGGAGTCTGTTTGAGAATTCTCTCTCCCCCCCCCGCCCCTCCCCTCCCCCCCTGCTCGCGTTCTCTCTCTCTCTCTTTCAAATAAAAAAGTAATAAATCTTAAAAAAAAAGGAAAATCCTGGGATACCTGGCTGGTTCAGTCAGTAGAGCATCTGACTCTTGATTTCAGGGTCATGAGTTCAAGCCCCACGTTGGGTGTAGGGATTGCTGTAAAATAAAATCTAAAAAGCAGAAAATCCTGCATTTGGGAAAACATGGATGAACCTGGAGGATGTCATGCTAAGTGAAATAAATCAGACACAAAAAGATAAACACCACATAATCTCACTTATGTTGAATCCAAAAAAGGCAAACTCATAGTAACAGATAGTAAAATGGTCATTACCAGGGGCTGGGGGTTGGGGGGAAAAGGTAAATGTTGGTCAAAAGGTAGATGTTCATTATAAGATAAATAAGTTCTGGAGACCAAAATGTACAGCATGGTGACTATAGTTAACAAAAATGTAGTATGTACTTGAAACTTGCGAAGAAAATAGATCTTAAGTGTTCTTATCACTCACACACAATGATAACTATGTGGTTATCCTTGTGGTCATTATTTCACAGTGTATACATAGATCAAAACATCACATTAAACACCTTACATATAATTTTTATTTGTCAATCATACCTCAGTAAAGCTGGGGAGGAAAAAAGAACATTCTTTTTTGTCTTATCAAGCAATGCATCTTGTGTCACTTTAAGAAATATATTACATACCTTTTTTGTTGTCAGAAGTGGCATGATGAAATGGAAATGAGAATTTGACACCTTTCGATTGTTCACACTCTTTTTTCAAAACAGTTGAAGAATGGGTGATACGAATATGTTGGTTTCTCTGGTGGACTCAAAAATTGTGGGTAATCATCAATCTGAAAAAGATATAATTAAACTAATTGAGGACAAATATAACTGTTTATCTACCCTATGATAATAAATCCCCTAAAGCTTAGGGCAAGTTTATTTTATTTTTAAGATTTTATTTATTTATTTGAGAGAGAATGAGAGAGAGAGAGAGAGCACAAGAAGGGAGAGGGTCAGAGGGAGAGGGAGAAGCAGACTCCCCACTGAGCATGAAGCCCAATGTGGGGCTCGATCCTGGGGGCTTGATCCCAGGACTCAGGGATCATGACCTGAGCCCAAGGCAGACGCTCAACCGACTGAGCCACCCAGGCACCCCTTAGGGCAAGTTTAAACTGCATTCTTTTTATTTTTTTCCTGGGAAGTCTTTCCTCTTGTCAGGTTTCTCAGTTTTCCTCAATTTGTTTTAGTCTTTACTAAAAATGAGTTTAGCAACAGATCCCAAGAAACTATTTACACTTACACTATAGAATTGCTAAATAAATAGTAATAGTGTTTTTGTTTGTTAAAATATATCCCTCCCCCTTTCATTTTGAAAATAGATTTTTTTAAAAGGTCTTAAAAATGTTTAATTAATGGGTTTAAACTAGGATTTTTGTATGCAATAGAAAGTGTCCATTTGCGGGGAACAGTGTACAAAGATTCTGTGAATACAAACATCTAGGTTTGAATTATTGGAAGTTTCCTGCTCCTAAATAACTTTCTCTTCTCTCCAAAGTGCTCTGTTTTCTATTCTTGATTAAAAACAGACAAAGTCTCGAGGCACCTGGGTGGCTCAGTCGTTAAGCCCTTGCCTTCTGCTCAGGTTGTGATCCCAGGGTCCTGGGATGGAGCCCCGCATCAGGCTCCCTGCTCCGCGGGAAGCCTGCTTCTCCCTCACCCACTCCCCCTGCTTGTGTTCCCTCTCTTGCTGTGTCTCTCTCTGTCAAATAAATAAAATCTTTAAAAAATATGAATAAGTATATAAATAAAATAATAAATAAATAAAATAAAAAGAGACAAAGTCTCAATAAATACTTAGGATTTTTTTTTTTTTTTTAAGTAGGCTCCACACCCAGCATGGAGCGCAATGCAGGGCTTGAACTCACAACCCCAGGATCAAGACCTGACCTGAAACCAAGAGTCAGACGCTTAACTAAGCCACCCACAATACTTAGGATTTTTAGATCTTTAACAATCTACTTCCCTTTTTATGACAGGTAGGCAGCAATAGCATCTGACTGAAAAGCCAAAAGTAAAGCCAGAGAATCACCAGAGGCGTCTTTAAAACCTTTAATCCAGGCATCAGAAGGAATACCTCTGTTGGCTTTTTGCAAAGTTACTTAGAATTTGGATAAAAATATTTCCTGTGATCATCCAGTTTCATCATTCTCTTTTCATAAATATATGAAATAATAATATATCAAATAATAATATTTTAAAAATCTAATTCAGGGGAATTAAAGATAAGATAAATTAATAAAAAGCTATCAGGATCTACTAAAATTTAATTTTTAAAATTATTTTCAAATACATAGAGTAATTCAAACCAAGCTAATGAAGCATAGCCCAGTGCAGGTCTTAAAAAGGATGTGCTTTTGTTAATAATAAAAGCTTATAGTTAGTAAAGGATCCTCTTCTGAACAAGATTCTTCAGAAAAGCCTTAAGCTATTTGATACCTGCAAAGATATGCTTCTAAAATTAGAATCCTATTATACATATGGCTAAGGTTTTTGTTTGTTTTGTGTAACTCTGTATTATATTTTTCTCTTGCCGTTGTCAGGAAAAATTATGAAAGACTTTGAAATAGGCAAAAAAGATGGTCTAGATGTTTTCCATCATTTATTGTCTTTGAGCTGTTTTAAAACAGTGTAAGTGGGGGCGCCTGGGTGTCTCAGTTAAGCGACCAACTCCTGATTTCGGCTCGGGTCATGATGGCAGGGTTGTGAGATGGAGCGCCATGGCAGGCTCTGTGCTCAGCAGTGGGTCTGCTTGAGAGCCTCTCCTTCTCCCTCTGCCCCTCCCCCCACTCGAGCGTGTGCTCTCTGTCTCTGTCTCTCTTGCTGTCTAAAATAAATAAATAAATAAATCTTTAAAACACTTTAGGTTGTGGGGATGCGTGGCTGGCTCAGTCGGTAAAGCATATGACTCTTAATCCTGGGGTTGTAAATTTGAGCCCCATGTTGGGTGTAGAGATTACTTAAAAATACATAAAGAAAAGAAAACACTAAGTTGTAGAAAACTGGTAATAGTGAAATTTTTCTTTTTAAGATTGTATTTATTTATTTGACACACAGAGAGAGACATCACAAGTACGCAGACAGGCAGGCAGAGGGAGAAGCAGGCTCCCCCCCACCCCCGCCGCCAGCAGGGGGCCCAATGCAGGGCTGGAACGCAGGGCCCTGGGATCATGACCTGAGCAGAAGGCAGACACTTAACCGAGTGAGCCACCCAAGTGCCCTGTATATAAATAAATCATTAAAAAAAAAAAAAAGTTGTTACAATCTCGGCACATTTTATATATATGTATATATAAATATAATATATAGTAATTGTATATTGTATTTCAGTATTATTATGTTATATTAAAGACTTTATCCATATAAAAATTATGTTCATTTATTTTTACATATCAGATGTAACTTTTTTTTTAAGATTTTATTATTTATTTGAGAGAGAGAGAGCATGAGCAGGGGGGAGAGGCAGAGGCCGAAGGAGAACCAGAGGGAGAGGGAGAAGCAGACTCCCCACTGAGCAGGGAGCCCCAGGCAGGGATCCATCCCAGGACCCTGGGATCATTACCTGAGCCCAAGGCAGACGCTAAACGACTGAGCCACCCAGGCGCCCCTCAGACATAACTTTTATTGCTGTCTTTAAAAATAGGTTTTGTCACTATCCTTAGAGACATTTTGTCTAATTTTTTGCAATGACTTTATTACCTTTGTTTTGCATGCCATAGGAACAACCAAATTTTCTAGTCAGTTGCCTATTTTTAATATGAAACTTCATCAGACCTGTCACATTTGAAAGTTCTCAATAATAAACCCGCCACAGTCATCTGAAGTCTCTTCTACAGATAGTTTTGTTTTATTGTGATGCTTGCTTGAAGGTTCTATTATAAGATAAAGTCAGTTTGAGTCCTCAGCAAAGGACAGTCTCAGAGCAGAGCCTCCTGGAAAAAGCATTGAGACAGGCTCTTCAAACTATTAACACTTCAGAGCTGAGCTAACATTACTTAGACAACTCAGACCACACCAGTGGACTGAGTTAGGATTTCCAAGACTCCATTAGGTCAAGAAGCAGGTGGTTTCATGAGACTCCTAACCCAAAATGTCCCAGAACGAGACTTAACTTTATAGGACTAAATAAAACTGATAGAAATTTATTGTGGTTATTTGCTTAGAATATTATTGATGTTCTAATGTTCTATTTTCTAGATATGTGAGGAAGCTTTTTATCCCCCTTCTTAAATTATAACCAGTGTGTAACCCATAACAATTTAGATTCTGCTCTCATAAACCAAAAATGTTTAAATATCCAATTTTCACTGGCTCCCCCAAAATTCAGAAACTCTTACTAGATTCAGTAAAGATCTGACTTCCTTTTACCAAGATATAATTGTACACACTGGTTGTATATCCAAGGCCTTATGTGAAGTGTCTTATTTAAGAAGAATATTCATCTGGGGTGCCTGGGTGGCTCAGTTGATGAAGCGTTGGATTCTTGATTTCCGCTCAGGTCATGATCAGGGTCATGGGATTGAGCCCAGCATCAGGCTCTGTGCTCAGCAGGGAGTCTGCTTGGGACTGTTTTTCTCCCTCTGCCCCTCCCCACCGCCCATGCACACGCACACTCTCTCGCTCTAAAAATAAATAAATAAATCTTTAAAAGGGGGGGATATTCATTTAACCAGATATAGCAAACCATTTTAAGGGCCAAAGGTTTGGTGTATTTATGGGGCCAGTGCTTATTAGGAAGATCACTTCTGGTAGGCCAGGCAATTAAGAAATTTTCAGGACCTCAAAATTCACTCATATTGATAGGTACTACAGGAGAAATCTGGTGGAGAGGGTTTCTTGGGCTGATTTCCTAGCCTAGGGAAAGCAAATAATAGAGGCTTTTAAACCTTACATTCCTGAAAACTTCCAGACAGAAGTTTTTGCAAAGAATTTTTTTTTCTAGTGAGTAAAGTAATAGAAGTTTATTAAGTGAAGATACAGAAAAAACTCTCAGGAGTGAGAGGGGTCCCCACAGGGTTGCCAACGAGGGACTTCAAGGTTGGTCTTTTATAGAAAGCTAACCAGGGAACTTAAATCCTTTTAACGTCTCTATTAATAACACCTTCAATGGCTTACTTCCTTTTTAGGGTCTAGTTATTCTTTGTTGGTCACAGTGATTATTGTAAAGACACCCACCCTACTCACCTAGGGCAGGGTGGTCCAGTAAGTCCCCTTATCTCTGGTTTCCCCACACCTCCACATTTTTGGGATTTCTGTGAGCCTGATAACATTGCCCCATCTGTCGCCCCCTACCTAGCCCCGCCTGCCCCTTACTCATTCCTCCCCCTGGGATAGTAACCCTAACTGCCATTAGGGAATGGGACAATGACTGCTCCGGGTGCTTCCTGCTGAATGGGCCGGCGGACTGTGTGGCAGTTAGAATCTCTCCAGGGGTCAGTCCAGGGACTTGTGGTATGGCTCCGGGGGGGTCATGATGGGCAGCAAACAGTACGTGTATCAGCACATGCAATAGGATGAACATGAAACAAGCATTAGGCTCAAAATTATGATCACATCCCTTAGATAAGATCCCCAATTACCAATTTTGTCAAATAGTTCAATGGATATCATGATCTTATTTAATTGATCACAGATGTCCCCTATTAATTGGGACACCTTGCAGGAGTTAACTGTAATGTTAAAACAACACATGTGAGGGGATTTTTCACGCCCCTAATGGTGTAGCAATAGTAGTCAGTGAGTAGTGGCAAGGTTCTGCAGAAGTCCTTCTCGGACTTCATTTAATTCTTGG